TTGTTTAATTTATCAAAACAAAGTGATTACATTTTTGAAGTTATAAAAAAAATAGTTGGTTTAATTATAACATGTTATTTCAGCTTTTGGTTTTAGATTTTAGTTTTTAGTGGGTTTTTGATTTTGCTTTACATTTTTTTAATCAGTAAATTATTTAAGAAAAATAAAAAAATAAATTATTTAAAAGTTACCTTTGAAATTTATCAAAAAAGTGATTGTTATTTAAAATTAAAAAATATATTAACATGTTTTAAAGTACATCATTTAAATAAATGATTAATAATAGATAATTTTGTTTTGTTAAAAATATTAAATATCTTTTGGGTCTGAAAATAATAATTGATTTTTTGATCTTTTAAGGTGAAACGTTTATTCAATGTTTTGGGGTTTTTTTTTCTTAACACGAAGCCCAAAAACCAAACTATATAATTTGTTCAAAAAACAAAAGTAAGCCCAAATTTGTAGATAATTATTTAAGTATAATTAGTAGATTTCCATATTCAATATTTTGATGATATATAATTTTTTTAGAACATTTCATATTTGTAGGAGAAAATATGTGACAGATAGATACCTGCCGTATTTTGAAGGTAGTTTACATTAAGGTCGTCTCTTAACATTAATTGTGTTGGTTTAATTTAAGTAATACATTTCAATCAGTTATATGATTTATATTATTTGTAACATTCTAGAAAGGGTCCAAATTTAAATGACAACTTGTATCAGTAGATAAAAAGAATGATTCTATTTTAATAGAGTAGATTATAAAATTATTAAATTTTTCACATTGAAAATTTTTGTTATCAATGTTTAAATATCTTAGTTCTTTTTAAATTTATATTTTTAAAAGATATTAACAATCGATAATATGATTATTTTTGGTATATACCATACAAACCGAATGGATGTAATTTTATAAAAACCATAGGATCTGGATATGGTTTGATTTATAACCGATTAAACTGAAACATGTAAATATGTATATATTTATAACGACGCATGAATATCTATTTGTTACATGAGTAGAACTATAATTATAATTTGTAAATAACTAACAATTTATTACAACTTAGACTTCTTATTTTGATCTTTTGTTTTTTTAACAGTAACTAAATTTAAGTAAAAATTATAAATTTGATGGACAACAATTAGTTGAAATTCTTTACAATTTTTTTTATTTTTAAACAAACAGAGTTGTGTTCAATCGAAGACATATTGGTTTGATGAACACTAAGTATGGAAGAATATAAAAACTTTTCTTTCATGCTTCTGTTTTGTTTTTTATTTTTATTTTCAAAATTAAGTGTTTTGATATTAATTCTAGATTTGATCATTTTATTAGATGATAGAAGCCTTTTTATTTTTTATTCTTTTATTTAAATATATAATATTTTTTTAATAAATGACTCTGTGATAATATGACTCTAAATATGATCATATTATATATTTGTATAATATATAATATGATCTCAAACTAAATAATCATGTTTTTGGTATAAAATTGAATAAACTAAAACCGATGGTATATAAACCAAATTAAACTGAAGTACATATAGATTTAGAATAATAGTTATATTTTAATAATCGAAATACCAAAAAATCGACCCAAACCGAAATCCGAAATCCGGATTGAATACCTCTAATCCAAATGAAACCAAACTATTGTTTCATTTTTCAAAACATAATAAAAATAATAGTTTCATCCCGCGCAAGGCGCGGGTCTTATCCTAGTAAAATGTTATAGTACAACTATTTAATGTATCTTACGTAAAAACGCTATGCGAAGTGTTAGAGAAAAAATTGTGGGAGCATATACAAAGTTCACCATTATGTTATGCTATTTTGTAATAATGTTTTATGGATGCTACATACGCAATATTATCTTGTAGTGGGTTCTATAGGTATAATTTTTTTGAACTCTATAGGTATTTATAAGTTTTCAATTCGATTTTGGATCGGATATTTTTAAATTGGTTTCAATTTGATTTTCCGAATCCATGTAAAATGTCCAATCCTAATTGGAATAGTATGATGGTTAAGGAAATTGAATGTGAGGTGTCATAATTTTATTGGATGATTATTTATGTTGATGGGACAGCCTAAATAAACTAAACATTCTTATTATATTAAGAACCTATTGAAACTAATTTTAAATCTACAAACCAACGATTCAAATTTTAGTTTCAGTCTAAAAATAACAATTCGGTTTCTAATATAAACAAACTCGATGCTTCACGAGAATAGTTGTCCTCTTCTCAAACGTATCTCAATTTATTGTTTGAAATTAAGCTATTATAAAGAGATATCTAAAAGAAGAGAAGACCACCAAACCAAAATAAAAATGACGTCCAAAGCCTTCTTCTTCTCTTTCTTGGTCGTCTCCGTCGTGTGTTTGTCCTCTCTCGCCGGATTTTCGGCCGCCGATGCTGATGATTTTGACCGTTTCCAAATTCAGGGATCAGTTTATTGTGACACTTGCCGTGTCCAATTTGTTACCCGCCTCAGCAAATTCCTTGAAGGTAAAGTAAATTTATAATACGTACTTAAATAATAAATTATGAATGTGTGAATAAATTGGGACCCCTTATTTTGTGGGGTTCTTTTAAAAAGAAACTTGTATATATTAGTATAATAATATATTAAATGTTAAATGCAAGGAAAAAAAGGATGGAATAGTGTGTAAAATGATGTAATGTATTAAAAAAAAATTTATTTTATTTTAAAACTACAGAAATTTACATTTTATAAGAAAAAAATGTAATTTAAACTAAGTTTTGTTCAAGATAAAAAGAAATCAAATTTTTAAAAAATAATTAAAGGTGCGAAGGTTTATACGTGTTTTCGTGTGTTGTGAAGGTGCGAAAGTGAAGTTGGAGTGCAGGAGCAGAACAAACGGAACCCTAGCGTTGACCAAAGAAGCCATTACCGACAAAACGGGAAGCTACAAGATGGAAGTAACCGGCGACCACGAAGAAGAAGTTTGCGAGCTCGTGTTGGTCCAATCACCAGACAGTGGTTGCAGTGACGTCAGCAAAGATGCGTACTTACGTAACGCCGCTAAGATCAGTCTTACGGCGAATGACGGCATCGTCTCTCACGAGACACGTATCGTTAACCCTCTCGGTTTCATGGTTAAGACACCGTTAGCTGACTGTCCCGCTGCTTTCAATGAGCTCGGTATTGTCCCTGACGTTACCTTCTAAGCCAAGAAAGAAATAAATATATGACGTGAGAGATTTTATTTTCTATTTGCTTCATTTTTAAGGGTTTTAAGTTTATCAATTATTTATCATTACCATCAGTAGTGACTGATGATAACTTTTCGCTTATTGTTTTTGATTTAATTTTAATTGCATGTGAGGAGCCATACATACTTTGTTGCTCTATAGAAAAGAAAACAAGATTGAATTAACTTTGGTCAATTACTATACTCCCACATACAAGTCTACAAATTATAAGAAACGTAATTAAATTTTTAATTTGATACACAAAGGAAAGGATTCGATCATTTTCTGAAACCTAATTAAAACAGATCTTCTTTGTCATTTTTGTAAAATATGTGAATTTCTTTGAAAATGGGAATAATTTGTAATAAGTCATTCTAGAGAATTTCTCATGTTATTTAGGACCGAAAATAGATGAGAACTACAATAGTAAGAAAAAGGAAAAAAGAGTTAGAAGTATGTAGAGAATCTTGAGATAAATATTTGTCGTTCGTTTCTTCCTGATAAAGTTTATATTTTGTGTTCGCATTATTTCTTATAAACTGTGTTATTTGCATCAATGAAAGCAAGTCACGCTGATGTTGTCTATGGTTTTTGCAGCCAAATGCTAATAACTTTCAAATGTATAAAGATTCACATAATACTGAGTAAATAGACAAAAGAGGTTTTACTGTTTACCAATCGAAAAGGAACAAAGTAAAGAAAGACAACGCATCTGAGGAGTCTTCTTCTTTCAAGTACTATAGTAGGTAGTTTTTTCTGAGGGTAAACACTTGTCTTATATGCGAGCATCGACTTTCTTCGCGTCTCTCGCTGCAATAAACAGAGACAACAAAAGATCAGAAACACGAGAAAAATATTCTATTAACCTGAGAGGTTTGTCTCTGAGGTATTTTACCTGCTTTTTCCTCTTCTCGCTTCTTGGCAGCTTCTTCTCTCTGTTGGCGAATCAGAGCCAAACGATCTACACACACACTCGAGATGTCATAACCAATAAAAGCCCATTTACTAACATAGAACGAGAACAAGAGATTTATAGTTGTTTACCCAAATCCTTTCTTGCTTGTTCGGTTTTGCCTTGCTCCTGCAATCTCATGTATCGCTCATGAGCTCGCTGCTTCTCTAGCTCCTCCCTTCAAAAAGACAAATATAACACAGCTCCTTACTTAAGAAAAAAAACGTTGAATGATAAAGAGATTCGAATGATTAGTATCAGAAACAAACCTTTCACGCCTCGAGAGTTCAGTGGTTTTACTTGCCTAATCAACAAAATGGGAAGAACAGAGCAGGAAACAAACCAAAAGTTATACATACTTGGAAATTCACAGAAACTGAATACACAAACAGAAAGCTTACATCAAGGTCTCTTGCTTTCAAAGTCTTTGGTTTTGCTCTGTTAGGGTTATCAACTTCGATCAGAGCTTCATGTCCTTTCTTCTTCACCTAATATTATATGCCCACCAAGCCAAAAAAAAAAAAATTCAAACCACATAAATATTAAAATGATTTTTTATTTTGCTTTCACTCACATCAGATTCATCTTCGGATTCTTCTTCAGATTCCTCCTCAGACTCCTCTTCCACATCTTCTTCATATTCAGCTTCTTTCTGATAAAGATCATACAAAAGTCAATCTCCCAAACAACATGCAAAGAGAAAAGCCACACCAAAAGTACCTGCTTGAATGACCGAGGACGCGCAGCAGAAGTGCCAGCAACTACAAAAACCCACACAGACAAGGTTAAAAAAAAAAAAACAAATAAATCTTGAACACATCTGAAGAGAATCTTATAGTCATAAAAACCAATCCAAGCCATAAGCTTTACACAGTTACACTAAAATCTAATATCCACATTCACATGAACATTGAAACATGCATCCATAAATAAAACAACACTAACAAGCAACAAGCTAATACATATCTTATATAAACATACCACAACCTCAAAGAGCTGAATCAATCAAAACAAACCAAAAGACTTAAAAAATGTAAACTTTTTGTGTACCCAATACTTATCTAGCTCGTATAAATCAAGATAAACAATCAGAAATTATTAATTCCTCCCAAAAAAAAAAACCCTAAAAACTCATGAAGACACAATGGTTAATTCGAACTCCTTTGTGTACATGTATAAAAGGACGAAACGACGGCGTTTTTTGATTCCTTACGTATATCAGCAGCGCTTGAGAATCGGCGTTGGCCTGTAGGTTTCCCTTTGAACTTGCCTCTTCCCATTGTTGATGAAATCGGAAAATTGGAGACAACGGAGTTCGATTCCTGACGCGGGGAATACGAATCGATTGGTGAATTGGTGGAGGAGGGATCTCTCGTCTTCTCTTGAGGTCGGTCACCACTAGGAGACGAAAACCCTAAAAGATTGATTCTGTGTTTTCAGTATAAGTATGATTTGTTCCTCTGTTTCGCGGTGTACTAAAATATAGTGACCGTATGACGATCGAACGGTCATTACTTGTCTTTTTACCGTTCAGTTGTCAAAACGACAGCGTTTAACTTTATGTAGGTTGTGTATTTCGTAGTCAGTAACTATAGGCAAATGGGATCATTAACTCTAAATAATATGATACATTTACCGATTTTTACATTAGCTATGATCAGATTTGAATAAACTTTTTAGAGAATCGTATTCAGTATAAACTTCTTTTTTTTACTGACTCTATTACTTAGCTAGTACCATTATTTAGAGAATCATATGCAGTACAGACTTCAAAATTCTAAAGTGTTTGTATTGTGTTATTCAGTATAAACTTCTACCACTTTTTGGAGTCCTAACCTACTAAAAAATGTTGCATTGTGTAATGGATTATGATATATACTTAACTTTTCATTAGGTAGATTATGTTATAAGCACTTCCATTTCATCTAGTTTAGAGTTATAACTCGGTTAGTATATACTTAACTTTTTTTTTTTTTTTTTAGTCAAAAAAGAAAAAACTCGGTTAGTATATACGCATTCTTCTTCTTTGTCATAGTATATAACTGTATTCACTGTTTAAGCAATGGGAAAGAGGAAGACAAGGGTAAACCTGCTCCCACCAAGCGAATGGACAAGCTTGACATGTCTTTAGCTGTCCTTTCTGCAATCTTTTGAATGCCAAATGTAACAATTTTTTTGAATTGTTGTTGTTAAACTATATATGTGGTGAATGTTCCTTTTGTTTTTCAGTAATATTAAGGAGATAATTGTTGGTGCAACTTGTAAAATCTGTGAAGAAAGCTTTAGCACTACTATCACAGGTTCGGAAGTTCTTTTTTCAAGTCTGATTTTGAGTCATTTTTATGCTTTACATCTCTGATCATTCTTTAGGGTTCTGTATTCTAGCAGCTTTGAGTGAAGCTATAGACATGTAAGTACTGTCTTGCTCTTACTTCACCCTGTTTTTCTTAAATCCTCTGTTTTGATTAAAAATGAATGCAGCTTTATGAACTGTAAATATCGTCAATTATTTTTGAACTATATATATAAAATTTTTAACACTAATGAAAAATCTAAAGGTATCAAGTCCCAAACAAAGTTACACTGAAAGAAATATATAAAAGAGCTATAAACATATCATTATTTTTAGACTACTCACTCTCTTTGACATCTTTTACCTTCATTTCCACTTCTTTCACATCCACTGAATCAGTAACCTCAGCCCTATAAACATAAAACCTAACCACGACCAAGAAAAAGACGAAGTTAACCAAATTCAGAGCCGCAAAGAACAAGTAATAATAATCCAGCCTAGACTCATTAAGATTGTTCAAAATCCATCCCCTTCCTCGTTTCTTCGTTATCTCAGAAACCGTTGACAGCAAGAAACTACTCATGAAATTTCCAACGGCTAAACTTGTTGTCGAATACGATGTTCCAAGACTTTTCATGCTCTCAGGAGCTTGGTCGTAGAAAAATTCGAGCTTTGCAACTTCTAAGAACGAATCAGCTATACCCATTAGCACAAACTGAGGAAGCAAAGCAAAGATGGTCAAGGGTAGCTCTACTTTCGTTTGGTGTATGAGTCCATGTTCAGCAGCGATATTGAGTCTATACCTGTTACAAAACTAAGTGTTAAAAATAAAAAATAACCATAAATTGCTTAGTGTTGCCGTTATAAAAAATACTTACTATTATATTTTACTAAATGTTTTTTTTTTAATAACCGGATCGTTCTAATTGTCAATTGCGTTTAGAATGTAACTCATGCACTATTCAGTCTTTGTTCAATATTCTTAATATTTAGGGAAATTCTCTAAAATAGCACATTTTCAAGTTTTAGTTTCAAACCTAGCACCACAAAATAAAATTTATAAGAATAATACAATTTTTAATATCATAAATCTTGTAAGAACAAATTATTTTCGAAATTTTATATTTCATTTTTCTTTAAAGATGAAAGCTCTCAGATGAATACCTCTCAGTGACAGATGCGATGATCATGATGAGGATGTGGAAGATAAGACCAATGCCCATTCGTTGAAGCAGAGTAATGCCTCTTGGATTTCCAGTGAATTTTCGAGTTAGCTTCACAAAGACTCGATCGTATATGACTATAGAGATGAGCATTGAGAGTGTGACGAAGCCTCCTAGACTCGCTGGTGGGATGCTGAAATTGCCAGTGATCTTTCGGTCTAAAGTGGTTCCTTGTTTGACAAACAAAGTGTTGATTTGAGCAATCATCATGCTTGGGACGAAAGTTATGAGCAACACAGGTAACATTCTCAACATTTGTTTGGTTTCTTCGACTTCTGTGATAGTACACAGATTCCATTTATCGGCTGTTCCTGTTTTGAGTGAAGCTCTGTCTAAGAATCTGGCACATATAGTTACATGTTAGATGCTCTTTCATTAATATTTTAAGAGATACTCAACTCATAGGCGTCTCAAACTATAAGAATACCATGTTCAAAAAATATTAACGAGTTATGTAACAATAATGATATAATGTTAAAAATTAGTAGTTTAATTATATATGTTTAACCTTTCTAAACAATTATAGATCCTAATGAAGAAGCATGATTAATTTTTTAAAGTTCTAGTCACTAATATCTATTTTAAAGAAGTTAAGATTTTTTCTTTTTCTTTTTCTTTTTTTTTTCCCACTAATTTTATTTGACCGCTAAATTCGTACATGGTAAAAACGGTCTTGCCTTAACTGAATATACATGTTACCTTAGACCTGGAGTGGGATGGATTGGAAAGGCGCCTTTCCGCTCGTATTCCAGTGAAGGCAGCTCGTGAAAGTGTGTGACATCACGTGCCATTCGCGCTTTGGCTTTGCGAAGTGAAGCCACAATGACTCGAGCCATTTTGGTGAAAGGACTCCCCGTGGGGAGTTTATGACGATAAAATGGAGTGCCCATCAAGAAAATGGAAATGGATATAGCTAGACCTATTGTCGGGAGTCCATATCCCAAGGCCCATCCCACGTTATCTTGAACATAAACAAGAACAGTGTTTGCGAAAAGTGTACCAAAGAAGATACTAAACATCCACCAATTGAAGAATGATAGTTTTTGAGTCTTCTCCTTTGGATCGAAAACGTCAAACTGATCAGCTCCTATGGTGGAAATGTTTGGTTTTGTACCGCCTGTACCGATCGCTAATGTGTATAATGCTCCAAAGAAAACCGCTAACTGTAAAACCGAAGCCTTTTTGCAGTCTTCTGCATTAACCGCTGAACATTCTGGTGGTTTGATTCCCGGTATAGATACTGATAATGTTAGAACCAACATGCCCTGTAATTGATAAATGACTAAACCGGTTATCAAGGAGTTGTGTTAAACCAGATGAATTACTGTTTTCAAAAACTCGTTAAAAGTTACTCTTTCAGAAAATTTCTGTAGATAAAGATGTACTTTTGTTTCAAATAAAAGTATTTTTAAGATTATTATGTTACATGTATTATTATGACATTTTTATTATTGTTACATAATGGTGTCTAGTATGTGTAAATGAGTGCAAATAGCAACTAAGATATTTCTTTGGTTTGAGCATCACCTATATGCATACAGCCTGCAAAAGAGTAAAAGAAAACAGCCTAATCCAAGACATATAATTATTATAGTTTCCTATGTGTATCTGAACAAGCACCAAAAAGTTTTTGTGTATCTGCCAAAAAGTCTTTAGGATATATGTAGCTAGGACAGCCTAATCCAAGACATGTAATTATTATAGTTTCCTATATGTATCTGAAGGTGCACCGAAAACAAGTTTTTGTGTATCTGCCAAAAAAGTCTTATATATGTAGGAGTAATAGATAAGTCTTTAGAATATTTAATTCTATTAATAATTTGTAGTTTCTTGTTTTGATCCCGAAAGGTTCTCGTGCGTAGAAACACTTCCTAAAATTTTCGTTCAAGACAAACAAAATATGCGTACTAATGATTTTTCAAAGTCATGCCAGCTTCAGTCAGAAGATAAAAAGACGGATGCATGCTCTCTAGTGTATACGAACAAAAGAGTCTGAATTGGTATATTATTTTAACGTGGAATTTGGACCGATCCTTGTCTTATCTTTTTCTTGTCTCGTTGACTCAGTGAAAGAAATTTATTATCTGAAACTAAAATTGGATATTCAAGATCGAAAGTATATATACAACAGTAAATAAAAAGTAAATGCCTTCTGGATAAGCAACGCCGCTTATACTATAGAGGGCAAGAGGTGCGACGACTTTAAGTGCATCTTCGAGTCCACTAACTTTAAAGTTCCAACTTTTCTATTAATATGTATTCTTTGGATTTGACCAAAAAAAAAAAAAAATATGTATTCTTTGTGTTACAAGTTAGTAGTTGTTGTATAGTAAAAATTTTGTTTTAAAACAAATATCATTTTTAATTTTAGTATAAGTCTATTAATTTATATATTATTATATTTTTATTAGTGAAAATATAATTAAATTTATATATCATGATATTTTATTTTAAAAAATTATATATTTTCTTAATATAAAGCGACAACTAGAATAAAATAGATGAAGTATATTATATTTGATTTAAATTTGGGTAATGATAAAATGGTATAGTAGTTAAAAATATCAGATTTTTCAAATTGTAAACATATTCTATAATATTAATAATTATAGGGGTCTGTAACTATTGTAACTTGCTACTAATTTTTCAAGCATTGCAACCATTTGCCTTCAACGTTAAAACCCTATGTTTGACACTCTAACCTGTAACCAGTCTGCCAAGAGGCCAATCACAATGCTTACTAATATTATTTTCATAACGTACTTGTTAATTATCTTGCTGCCTCCGACACCATAAAAGAAAGTAAAATCAAGTTGCGGCATAACTTATTAATGAATATAGTATATTTATAATGTTCAGAAGTGGGACAAACAATGCAATATGAAAGGGGGTGATCCGTCAAATAGAGTCCATGTCTTTTCAAAAAAAAAAAGTCCACAAATCATAAGATTGACGAAAAAATGCATTTTCATGAATCGTCACGTTTTTTAGTTCCCACGCCTAGATTCACGTTTTTGAGCATACTTACCTAATTTGGTTCTCTAGTGGTCATGACTTTAACATGTTCAAAAATAATTATTATCACTTTGGCATCAAATAAAGCGTCTTGTGTGTTTTGATTGGCTATAGAAGAAGGTAGATACATACCGAAAAATAGATAGCACATGAAATGACGAAAGTGATATAGCGACCGAGATGAGCATCTGCGACATAAGCACCTAAGATGGGAGTGAGCCAACTAGTCCCAACCCAGTTGGTCACGTTATTCGACGACTTGACTGTTCCTTGATGCAATTTAGTAGTCATGTAAATCACTAGGTTGCTTGATATCCCGTAATAAGCCATCCTTTCAAATACCTCGTACACTATTATAACATCATTAGTTAATATTATAAGAACAAAAAATAAAGAACAATGAGATTAAACAAGGAAAACTTTTGTGATGAAAAAGTGTGTGAAATTGATCTATAAATATTTTCTCCCAGTTGTAATATATATTTTCTCTGTTTCATATTAAGTGTCATTTTATCTTTTACATTTTGTTACATTATAAGTATCATTTTATATTTCTAATACATATTTTAAACATTTTTTCAATTTTGACCCT